CACTATCTTGACTCATCTGCATTGTCAGATCTTGACAAATGACATTGTTTTTGCTGAATCCAAAAGGACCCTTGCAATAGGAAAAACTATTTGGACATGACTGAAAATGTTTTTGGAAAACTAAAATATGAGTCTGCTATCTGGTATTTGTGGAACAGAAACTATCCAGACATCACCAATGGAGGACTGACTGACTTTGGTTTTACGCTGCTTTTAGCAATATTCCAGCAACATCACGGCTGGGGACACCAGAAATGGGCTTCACACATTGCACCCATGTGGGGACCAAAGGAGGAGTGAGTGATTATGGTTTTATGCAGCTTTCAGCATTATTCCAGCAATAATATGGCAGGGGACACCAGAAATTGGCTTTAAAGATTCTATCCATGTGGCTTATCTATTCTTGTTCTTCAGCATGACGAGCGGATGCCTTAACCATTAGGCTACCTCACTGCCCCCACCAAAGGAAGAAGTTGTGAGTAAAAAAATGACTTCACACCACTTTCATTTGGCAAGATTAAGACTGGGAGACACCAGAAAAGGTTTTTTAAACAATGTGCCTGGACCACATCAAACCTGGACCTTCGCGGTTACAAGTGAAACCATATCACCAGGCTATCCCTACACCCTGGACAAAGGAACAAAATATATACAGAAGGTGACCCAATTCAAAATATCCTTTTAGCACAATATACAAATATAATCAGCTTGAATGCTTGTCGGGTTTTTTGAAAACACTATTCTAATGCGTTCTGTGTTTGGCCTAAACTAGACAGTAGAAAGTGTGATGGTACTAGGTTTGAAATTACTCTAATTTGTGGCTCTGTTGTCAGACCCAGTCAGGCCATTCCATTCCTCCATTCACAGATCAATATTAGAGTGTCAGTAGATGTCCCTGATAGTCTTATTATACAAGGTTATAGATGTGAGATATTCCTGACATCCTTCCCTTTCCTGAAATACAACACTGACGCAGCCACCGACCCTCCCATGTACATATTTCTGTGATGAGCATATGTCAGTGACCACTCCACGTCTAATGAGATCAGGTGTCACACACATGTCAGTGTCATTAGCCATGATGTGGTACATAAAACCCAGTGGCATGATACAAATATGTTACCATGGTATATTATAGTTATACAACAGCAGACAGAGAAATATATATAGATCAGACAGAAGAATGTTAAATCCAAGTATCTTCTGGAACAAATGAGAATCCTGCAACTTACAATAGCAGTGTAGGAAAGATAGCCCGTCCCAACGTCCGAGACAGGTGAATTTTGTGGAGGACGGGTTAAAAAAATATCTAGTCCGTCCTCATGTCGGGTCAATTTTAGCAAACCAATGACATATATATAATGATTATAACCTTTTTGAATATTTACTGCCGAAGGTGTTTTATTTATATTTGGAGGACAGGCTAGATTTTGGCACGACTGTTAAAACATTTGACCTGCCAGTCCTGTGGACAGGCTAGATTTTCTACATCTTTCCTACACTGACAATACACTACAAAACTGTCACAAGCATTCAGAAAATGGTTTTAGTACAAGAAAATCAGCCTACAGCAATAACGGGGGCACGAACAACTGACCAGGATTTGAAACTATATTAATGTCATAAGGCCCCTCAATTTCTTATGCGAATTCTCGTAAAATACTACAGTCATAATTTTATGAATCTTGACAGGACTTTATCATTACCCAAATAAATAAAAATCATCAGGACACTTTGGGTGACCATCGGAGAGTGTCCTAGAAGGTAGGGCTGGCTAAAAAGATCGACAAATATTGTCAATTGGAAAAATTATTAAAGATAATTGAAATGAAAACAGTGTCATCAATAATATCACACATAAACTTTTGTGATAGAATAAAGTTTTATTACTCACACAATACACAAAGTTAGGTCTTTATCATGGGCTGCTTCTAAATTATGCTCAGGACGATGTTTTTGTTAGTAGCCCATGTATAAACATGTCACCCTTACCAGTGAGATGAAACATATTCATTGCTATCAGATATTTTTTGCCATTTGTGCTTAAAATCACTTCTCCCATATTTATTGATGATCGATATTTCCGATTGTAGATCATAGAGATCGGTAATCGTTAACTCTACATGTATATCGATAGTCATCCCTACGAGAAAGCGAACTTATCTGAAACCCTGTACACCTAATTTTAAACTCTGCAAATTCAGTGTGTGTGTGTTTGTTAATTAAGATGAGATGGCAGTTAACTTTCTCCCTCCTCCCCAAAAAAAACCCCACACACAACAACATTGTTTTGGACTATTCCTCCTTGAAAGTGCATCTGTTGTAATACTCAGGAATAACTGTCATAGCCAGAAGGTTGAAATATAATGCCAAAGAGTTTCCAAGAGATTGGCAGAGTGCTTAAGTCAAGTTTAAGTGTATTGATCCAAATGTTTACTATGAATGCTTTGGACAGCCCATTGTTGATTACCTGATCAAACTGACTTCCATCCAAGCAAAATATCTCAAGGTATGTTAAGTTCTACTAAAACTTTCAGTTCCAAAATTTCTCACTGATGCTTCGAAAAACACTCATCAATACCTTTCAGCAGGTCTGATAAAACAAACCCATAAATTCTGACCATGCTGAAGTGCGCAGGATGCTCAAAGCAAAACACATTTTTCAGCCTGACAGAAAAGGAAAAACAACCAAGTTGCTCTTTTCACATGTAAAAGAAACGTCTCTAAACCATCACATTAAACAAAAGCTTTATCCAATGCAAGTCCAAAATAGTTCTTCCAGAGGGCACTTCACACTTGTCTATTTCCAACAACCTTGGCCCTGACATAAGAGATACTTTTACAGACATAGTTTGTCGACCAATTGCTCAATAGCAGTGGCAGTGCAGTTTCAGAACGGCACCTTCAGTCGTTGCAGATCCGCCAACCCAGTGTGCACTGCAGCGATCCAACACAAGAAAATCAATCGATGGGAAGATGAGTGGCGATGAAGCCAAGTCATTTTCAAGCATTGCCTGAGGTTTTTTGAAGACAAGTTCCGAATCAATGATTATCCTCTAACAGACTGCCACATTTACTGTACAAATACGTTCCCTTGTTTCCTTCTAACTGGGAGTGGGCTGGGATGCTATTTTTCCATGGTCAGCATGCTGTGAACCACATTTATGTAACAACACAGCAGTTTTAGGAAAAACCTGAACCAAACCCACTTAATATGTAACCCCAATATGTTAAAACTGACAGTGAGCGGGTGAGTTTAATTTTACACCTTTTTTAGCAATATTCCAGCAATATCATGACGGGGGACACCAGAAATGGGCTTCACACATTTTGCCCATGTGGGGAATCGAACCCGCGTCTTCGGTGTGACGAGCGAACGCCTTAACCACTACGTTACCCCACTGCCTCTAAAACTGACAGAACAGGCATCATGACAGGGTGAAGTGAACCTAAGCTCAGTAGATCCTGTCACATATAGGGGATATAAATTTGTATGCTCATAAGGAATATTGTTGTCTTGTAGACAATTTGTTCACATCAGTTATGAGAAGTGAGAAGTAGAATGCTTAAACTTATACAAGAGCGACAATGATAAGCATGAGAAAGTACGAGAGTTAGTTCTACATGACTTTGAACAGTGTTTCAGATATATAACAGGGTGTCACCTAAATACTGGAGGAAAGCTGAAAGTGATGCTGATCTCAGATACACACAACTTTGGTGTACCTCACAAGCACAGGTAAGAAGATGACAAAGCTAGGAATTTACACTGAGATTCAACCCACAATCACAGGTTCTGTATGTGAGGACAAATGACGCAACAGAAACATCTTTACTTTCCACTTTTTCAAAGTTCAGCAAGATCATGATTGTGCAAAAGCCAGGAAGGAAATCAAATCCTTGCCAGTGATTGGCCAATTTTTTGTGCTGAAATGACTCACACCATCGAGAGCAATGCCCCCAACACTTTCGCATATATCTTCTGAGAATGGTTAGGTACAAACTGCATGGATGATATGGTAAGCATACACAGACACTTGATATAAGTGGACAGTGAGTGAGTGAGGGAGTTTAGTTTTACCCCGCACTCAGCAATATTCCAGCTATATGGCGGCAGTCTGTAAATACTCGAGTCTGGACCAGACAATCCAGTGATCACAGCATGAGCATCAACCTGTGCTGGGAACTGATGACATGTGTCAACCAAGCCAGCGAGCCTGACCACCTGATCCCGTCTTACAACAAGCATGGGTTACTGAAGGTTCATTATAACCCGGACCTCACGGGTATAAGTGGACAGGGAAGACAGACTTGACACCAAGTTCACATCATTCCACTTTCAGCCAATAAATATCTGTACAAAACTGCACTCAAATTCTATTATGGGCTTGGAAATTACTCTATTCTGATAGGTCAATTAGAGGTATCAAATTACAATAACTACCAGTGATTATCACTATCAAACTATTATGACTGGGATTGAAAAGTTCATTTGTAGTGTTTCATGACAATACTTCAGCGACAAGACAATGTTTCTGCTTCATGTAAGATGAAGACACTGAAGTGATGCTGCTCAGTGATGTTAGCCACTCCATGAACATCACCAGCATGCAGCTGACCAAGCATTGAAACTGGGCTGAACCAATGATAAATGGCATCACTGCTAAACAAGACAATTAAAACTGCACTGACTTTTGCCAACAGACCATAAATGTACTTGATATGCTTTAGCTGTAGAACTATATAGGGTGTCTAATATATGAGACTTTGGTTGGGACTTGTTACATAAATTTCAAAACATACAATAACTTCCACTAAGAGTTCAGAAGAGAACAACAAATATCCTGTTGTCGCTGCATCCCGATATTATTGTTCTTACACCAGACTTGCTTTAGGTTATGTCATTAGCTCCACTTTGAACATCATGATTCAATATCTATTTTCACATATTTACAGAGAGTGGGAGATATTTCGTCGTAATCACCAATCAAGACTCTTACCTGATATGTGTTGTCAAAACTGTCATACATGAACCTTGTGATAAGTGACGTCTTTCCCACTGAAACATAGTAAAGGTAAAGCTAAAGATATTTTTATAACATTCTTTATGTCAAAAAACACCTCACTCCATGCTTATCACATACACCATTCCTTAGGGAGGGTATCCGATTCACTGGCCAAACTGGTCTAGGTGGGCAAACAGCTACCACAGCACCAGCTCCCTATGAGAGTTAGTCACAGAGTTATCTAATAACTGCCCATTGATAACTTACCAGTAGCTAGAATGTAGATATTGTATCAGTAGAAAACAACATTCTCATCTTAGAGCCTTCATGATCCCCTGTCAACATGGCTAAATTTGGCAGCTAACACTCTTTTTAGTACCTTGTCCTACTAATGCAAGGGTCCAGTGGACCCCAAAATAATTACATTTAAAACAAAAACTTGGAATTTCAAGTGAAAAAATTGGTACAGTTAATAAATTGTGTGTCCCTCAGCATGCAAAGTATATATTCTCTGTGTGTGTATGTTTGTGAGAAGTGGACTCAAATTTCTGGATGGAATAGGCTGCTTCTAACATTAAACTGCAAATAATGTCAATGTAAATAACAAAATGACTTCACCAATATGATAAAAAATGATAAGTTGATTTGTTGATGATAATAAACATATTTTTCAGCTTCATCAGGCCAAAAAACGAGAGTAGAGCAAGTATTTATTACCCTCTCTACCTAATTTTGGCATTCTGCATCGCTACAACCATAGAAATGCCAAATAATCATGTTTATGATTTAGTTTGCTATCTACTACAACTTAGTACAAGGCAAATCTTGTATCATGATAACTGGATGGTGTTATCATGTAGTACATTGTATTCTAATATTCTGAATGACTATTGTTTATCTTTTCCACAGCTGTCTGCAATATTCCAGCAATATCATTGCAGCCTACAAATAATCTTGCCTGTGTACTGTGTGTAGGCCAAACCAGTGGCTGATGTAATGCACACTGTCTCATGCCATCAAGGTAGGGTAACCATGGTAACATGGAACTGTGATGTGACCAAAATTACACTTGTCTCTAAGCATGCCTACAACTGATCCCTTGAGGGTTCATATATTTCAGTAATTCTTACGAACATGCATTTCCTCTTTCTTGAAAAGGCTCATTTCCACAATAGATGACATGTCACCCTCTACATCAGTGAGTGATGTAAGTCCATGATATACAGTGAATACATGTTAATTGGCTGCCAGTCTGGTACCAAATACATTGTACAGACTAATGTTGCTTCCTGGAAATGTCATCAATAATGGTCCCCTTTTCTCACTTCCCCTGGGACATGGATGTGAAGCAGCTGACGTCCCCCATGGCCACATAGCCCCATCTTAACAACTTCTCTATTCAAATTTTAGCTTCCGCATTTCTCCATCACGTTCATGGTCAATGAATCAAAAATGGTTTCAGTTTAAATTCCAGACATTATATATAGCCAGTCATTAAGCCCTACAGTGAGAGTATTACAGACATAATTCTTCACTTATGGACTCAGTACTGCAACAAAGATTTAGCTGAATATTAGGCTAGGGATATTACCAGGTAGTCTGTCATACAGACCCTGAAACAAATTTATCCAAGAAAGCCCATGGAAGTCTGGCAAGTCTAGATTTCCACAGTTTCTGAAAATGAAGAAAGTCTCTAGGCTCCTTTTCATTATATTTTATGATTATAATTTAGGAACTGCTTTTTTTCTGCAAAATATGTTCATTACAGAGATTAGATGTTAGTCTAATTTATACCAGGGTATTGTGATATCAATAAATTTGTATATTGATACAGTATTGAGACAAATTTATGAACATTGATTCTCTTTTAATAATTCATTAAAGACAATCGACATTTATTAAAATCACAAATTCAAAGGATCAGCTGAATTAAAATATTTAGGATTAAATAGAATAATTGCTTGTGTACATACATAGACAAATTGTATCTATGCACATACAAAATAACCATATGCCACTTTCAGCAATATTCCTGTTATCATGTGTTTAACATTGGTAAATGTTGTCTCATCATTCAAGTTACTGTAACTATGGTGACTGCACTTTGCATTCAGGGCAATGAACCACAGCATTTCAGTTCTTAATATATAAGTAACCATATTGTCAGTAGAATAACAAAAAAAATTAAATTTAAAATTAGGAATGAAACAAATAAACGCAATAAGTCTTGCTCAAGGTATCCGCCACTGGGTGATTGTGAAGTAAAAGTAAAAGTCATGTCAACTGAGATTAGCCCAGTAAGCTAATGAAAGAGAATGGGATTACAGTAAAATGTATACATACAATGCTGAGAGCTAATTTCAGATTCGCAAACTTTTTTGGCACAGACAACAGACTCATCCGACCCCTCTGTTAGCATGGTTAAAGTGATCTCAACTATTATATTCCTGAGTCAAAGCTAACGTATGTTATATTTGGGATTACACTTTCTTAGTAAATATGTCGTTGTGTATTTCATAGCTTTCGGTCGTGGGAGCCGTGCCAAATAACACTTATCAGAGGGGTACACAAAGTCCGCAGACTAGACTACCAGTTGTCTGACTTCCTTTTTTGTGGAAGCCACGGTGGCTGAGCGGTCTAGGCGTCTGACTTTGTGTGCTGGGGATTAGGTGCCTAACTCTGAGGGCGTGGGTTCGAATCCTGGATGGGACTCAACCCCCCAAAAGTACTAGAATCTGTACTTTACTAAGAAAGTATAATCCCAAATATAACATACGTTACATTTGACCACTTTCTAAAATATGGTGTTGTGTATTTCTGAGTCAAGGCATCCTACATTGTACATGCATGTACTGGGACTGTAACGATTCACTCGCATATTCATGAATCAAACTGTATCCCTTCAAGAATTCAATTCATTATTCGTACTCACTACAATTGAATATGCATTCATAAAATGTCATAAAAATGAGTGTTTATCAAAATGAGATATGAAAAATGAAATATGTCCAAGCCATGATGGAAAACTGTCAACACCCTCATATATCATGTACATTGAATTGACTATAATGTGATCACAGGTCATTGTTGTGAGAAATTATCACCGTCGATATGATCAAAACAAGTCAAGAATTCTATTTTGATATTGTTTCATAATGAATTAGAATACTACATCTACTGTGTCTACTTGCTATTGTACTGTAACCAGATATTCATGATATGTATCACATTTGCCTCACAGTGGATTCGCTGCAGACTGAGTATATACACCAACAAAATCCATTGTGATAAAACACAAGGCATCAAACAGATAAACCAATAGCGGTATTAACAGGTAATGTTCTACCAAGCTAGATATTATCTGTTGCTGATTAGTACTCAGTAGTTTGTAAACAGATAAAAATAGAAGAGAATAACCAAAACACTGACAACTAGAACATGTACATGTAAGATCATTCTCCCATAATACTAATGAAAATCAAACAAACTCTAGATAACAGGAACCCATTGAATCAACTTAATTTTACATCTGCATTTTTCAACGGGTCAACACAGTTGTCAAGACCTAATCTGACAATGACAGTACTCAGTCCTGCAATGTTCTGAAATCAAAGTGTTCAAAGATATTATTATTATCATTATTATTATTATAGGATAATTATATAGCGCACATATCCACGCACTAGAGCATGCGCAAGGCTCTGGTATTTTTTCCCTCGATCATTGGATGTCAATCTCAACGGCACATCACATTATCAATCTCAACTCCCTGGGGAGTATACAACTCTTGCAGCCACTAGGCGCACCGAGTTATTGTGGCTTTCTCATCCTATTGCTACAGGCCCATGTTCCCAACACATTATGGAGATTCAATGCCATGGGCATTATTGACCCTAACATTGGTCATGTCATCATACTGATAACACATGCTGATGCTCAGTCAAAAGGTTAGAGGTAACTGAGATAATAAATATGTCAAAGGAAAGTTTCATTTTTTTACTTAGAGAACAAATCAAATTGCACTTAATTTTCCTCAATAATCAGAAAGTCTGACTGACTGAGTTTGGTTTTACGCCGCTTTTAGCAATATTCCACCAACATCACGACGGGGAACACCAGAAATGGGCTTCACACAATGTACCCATGTGGGGAGTCGAACCCGGATCTTCGGCGTGACGAGCCAACGCTTTAACCACTGGGCTACCCCACTGCCCCTAATCAGGAAGTATCTTTTTTATCAACACAAAATCTTTTTCATAAACATTCTATTTTCCTAGATATTACAGTTTGTTTTCTGTGAGTGATTTTGATATGATAAACAATTTGAAAGAAAAATTATAATTCTGAACTGTTTCTATGCAACATATTACTGATTAGTGCATTTCTGAAGACATGGCAAAGAATTAAATGCTTGAACATTTTAAATACACTTTCACTTAGGCAACAGAATATTTTAATCTTCATGAGAGATTTGAAAACACGCTTGCATCTTTGTCATAAATTGGAAGTAATTTTTGAGAGGGTAGTGTGATGCTCTCCACTGATGTAGCTGGGCAACCGAGATAAAAAGCAATGGTCGAACAATCACATCCAAAAGTGGAAAACACATCGTAATCAGTTTGTGGACAAGAGGTGCAGACAACTGACACGAAAATTGGGAGAATATTTAAGAAATAGCAAACTCCAGTCTTCTTGAAATGAACAGCATTGCTGAGATTAGATTGTATTCATGATGCATCAGGTTGTTTAAATACGAGTGAATGTTGGAAGCCTGTATATTTTGTACTTTGTATTATGTAAATAGTGCTGATCTCTCACAAGAAATAAACGTCTCATTATCACTGTTTATCGTACAATAAAACACTGCAGGAAGAACCAACCACTTGGGGCTCTGCCCCTTATAGTTTATTCTTCCTGCAGTGTTTTATAGTATGATTAACCAGACCCCCAGGTCCTCTGTTTCATAAATACTGCGCACATTGGTTTGGGGCAACAGACTGATCTTTGTTATTGCTATCACTTGACCACAGTTAGTAATTATAATGTATTTTAAGTTCAAATCCTTATTAGGGTGGTGGGGTAGACTGGTGGTTAAAACATTGTACATGGGTTCAAGGTTTGAAGCTAATTTCTGGTCTGAAATTGTGATATTGCTGGAATATTGCTAAGAGTGATGTAAAACCCTACTCACTCACTGAAAACAATTTATTTCAAGAGCAAAAGGTGTCCTACAACATGTAGAAAGCTTACATTACACATATAAAGTTTGTTTGCTTTATATGCCAGTAAAATATAAATCAGGCTGAAAATTAATGTTCTATTTACAGTCTTTGTACCTCCATGTACCATGTAATAAAGTTAAAGCACAAGGATGCTTGAAATCCAGTGCTTTAACCATGTTAACAGTATTATAGTTCAAGGCAATCATAACTGTACTTTATGACACCAAACTATTTTTTCCTTTCTAAGATGCCAAATTTTATACTTACTGTCACTCTATGGCAAAAAAATACAAGCAGAAAAACGATATTGTCGTGATCAAACAACAATAATTGTTCAGGGCTAACTGACGTGTTGTTCTACTGAGATGTCTGCACACCAAGTTAAGAAACATCTTACCAGTAGAACAAATGAAAAAAAAGTGAAAAGACGGTTTTCATTCAGCTTAAACATTTTCACTTTGTTATTTTAATTAAATTGGTAATTATTGTAAACCATATTGGCCAATATGCATATCATATTTTCACTTTCAGTACAAGTTTAGATCATTACATCATGCTTAAGTAGACTCGTCACTAGACATTCCATGGATGCATTGTGGAACTGTGGACATAGGCCTAGTTAGTGAACGTTGCTGTGTTGCTGTTTAAATTAAAATGAAAGCAAATATGAGGGTTTTTTCTTGAAAAAAGTTAAACGTGATGTTTCCACCTGTGATGTTAGCCGACTGAAGCAAGTGCAAGGCATGAAATGTAGTGCAAAGCAGTTAGTTGCATTGTAGGAGACTGTACTGGGCAATGATGACTGACCTGAATAGTACTGCCTTTGATCTTTAGCATAGCATCTTTACATCACGGTTACACTTTCTCATGGACAGCCACAGCATGACATGTCTTTATCCACTCATGTGCATATTTTTGTAATAAATACAGTCATGCCTTCTATATATTTATGTAAGTACCATATACCAGAGGTGCTGAAACATGAAACTTTTCCACTTTGCCTGTGCAAAAAGATTACTGGTATCAAAATCTTCTGACTCTGGTTGAATATCCTGAAGGCAACTAATGTCCCCTCTTATGCCAGTTGCCTTTCCAGTTAGAGGCACAAGTCTGTTTTGAACCATTACCATTGATTACAACTTAAACACATGAGTATCAATTACAATATTTACAAATTGTGCAATAACCTGTCCTATTTCCTGCTACAGTTAGAATTACCTTACAGCTGATCCATGTGTGTGTTGTGTGTGTGTTGTTTGTGTTGTTTGTGTGTGTTGTGAGAGTATAATATTAGCTACCGGTATATCTGTCATACATTAATAGGTTAAATTAATATGTCATCAGAGATAAACATAACTGTCTGTAGCAATTTCTTGTTAGCCAGGCAACAATGAACATAAATAATAAAATAGTTTATAATAAAATCAGTACAAAGTAAACTCTGTAAGACTTATACGACTGCATTGATATACAATATTGGCATGTTCTGACACCCCTTGTGTCAATATTGACATTCAATGAAAACATTTTAAGCATCTCACAAAATGCATTCTCTTGCTCATGTCCATCTCTAAGAGCATGAAATGAGAATTGAGCTTGTACAACAACACTGATGTATTTGATTATCTCATGGCATTTAATTTTTGTTTCCTGTTTCCTGACATCACTAAACTATGAATATGTGTTTTCAAAGTGTGTCGGTATATTTAATTTCATCATGATCATATCAATGCAATATCATTTAAAATGAATAAATATGCTTAATAATATAGTTTTAGAATAAATATTTAACATGTTTACTGAAGAAAAATTGTTGAGTCTGGATAAACATTTTACATGTTTACTGAAGAAAGTTAGTCTGACATAGCAGGCTATCGAGACCGCTAAATGCATAAAATTCCTGGACACTTAAGTACTGGTTGACCTAATTTAGTAGTCATGGTGAACTTTCATTGATCATGAATATTCAGTAACATTAAAACGTCTGAGTTAAGATTGGCATTGGAAATTGCACGTGATAGTTTCACAAAACTAAATCGTATGAGGTGTGTGGCTAAATTTTGACAATGATTCATGCTAAGTGTAGGACACTGTGTGACATGGCAATACCAAGCTGTCAAAATATGTAATGACGCTTCTTAATACATTCCACCTCGTTTCACAAATTTTACAAGAGGAATAATCAACAGAATCAACTGTGTATGGAAAAAAGATACAAAACATAGTCATAAAATGCATCGACATGAAATAAACGAAAAAGGGAGGGGCTATTTATTGGCGATTCAAAGAAGGATCAAACACGATAAATATTGAACGAAATAAGCCATTTTACACAACAATGTCTACTGATTCACCGCCATTCTCCAACGTTATTTGATGTCCATATATAATCAGTTATTGAGATGTTACTAAAACAATAATATTATATGAATGTGTGGTGGAAATAAATTATCAAGATCATGATTTTTTTACGTGTTGTAACCAGTGACGTGATTCAGGCGATGCCAAGACTTACCACTCTGTTCACCGAGGAAAACTAGCTTGAATTTCCGAAGGGGATTACCAAATTCGCCTGAGGAACTCATCTTTTCCTCCCCAAGTTTGACAAAGATGAGAAAAATTAATCTTTTATGGTGGGGAGACACCTGTGTGAAAGAAATACCGATATACACCAATATACCGTAAACCCGTCGCCACGTTCGGAGCCTCGCTTTCAGTTACTGCCGGATATATGTAACCTCACAACTCCTTCAAATACAGAGTATTCTTATGGCCATCTATTGATCCAAAATTAAATATAGGTTTCATTTAATATTTAGTGTGACTAATCTGAGTACAAAATTCCGTTTCAAACAAACAAGCGTCATATAAGATAGTTCAGCGTTTCATTCAAATGAATATTTTGCTTGTTGTAAGGATCAGACACATGCTAGTTTTACGGGAGAATCTCTCTGTTAGAGCGTAAAACATATCGAAACGGGGATTCATAACTAATTATACTGGTTTAACCGATAAGAAAGACTGACATTTGGTGTCTTTCATGGGTTCATACAAAATGTTATTCTCGTAAATTGTACTAATCTAATTAGTTGTAACGAAAATATGTGAATATCATCGCGCACCTGCGCATACAGGCGGAAGTGTTGCACTTGCTTGCTCCTGATTGGTCCATTATTTTGGGCTGTCTGCTACGGAATATTTGCGAGGAATGCAGAGACTGACAACGTAGGTATTGCTTGTGGTGTCTATACGGCGTTGTCGGTTAATTTATTTATTCACGGTTGTATCCAAGGCGTCACAACGCATCTAGTTGAAATGTTAATGACTGTTGTGGAAAATCCGAAAAATGTCAATGTTGGAAGCGTTTAACAAGATGGAAAATGTTCACATGACTTAGGCTAGCCTTGACCAATGTTTGTGAGATGATGTTCGACTGTGCTCTTGGTTGAAGAATAGTTTATGTTCAAGTGGGACTTGCTCCTTATATTTGTTTTGAAAATCAAGTGTGTTTGATGAGTTGATGAAAAACATAATTAAACTGGGGAGGTCACCATCAACTCAAGTTAAAGGGTGTTTTTTTGTTGTTGTTTTTCTTTGTGTTGTTTATTAATTAAGTAACTTTACTTGGTGGAACCGGGAACCGACAGTTAGACAGACTACAGAATAGGTAGACAATTGTACAACTCTGTCATGAGTTGTCTTTTTCTGTTGCAGGGTTGTTTAGGATTCGTTTTACTTAATGAAACAAAGGGACATACATTTGGAGAAGGTCTACTTAGTATGGACATTATTTTGAGACGGTCATAAAATTGTGCGCAGTTTATAACAGTCTCTGACCAAAACAAACGTTTATAAATGAAGCTATTCAGCTAATCACATACGAAGATGTGTTCCTGTGCAAATGAGTTGTTCTTATAAACATACAATGAGAACACATCAATAGAAAGTACACTGAAGGACACCAAATCACTTTCATATTCAGTTATTCATTGGGGCTATTCATATGTGTTCACAATGAATGTTTAGCTTTGCCATGGTAACTGTATAATATGTTGACTGTACAACAATAGATGATGACTGTCCATACAACCCAGGTATGAGGTCTCACCTTGTACCAGCCTATCACTTCATTACTGTACCTTAGGGATTTATTGAGACCATCAGCTCACATGCATATATTTGGCCCAAAGTCTGGAGCATATATCAGTTCAAATTCTTAATTTAAATTTAACGTTTGGTAATTTCAATAAATTTTACCTACAAAAGAACAAAATAATTTTCTTTCCAATATCCATGTTTTGTTTGGAATCCTGGATAAATTCCTGCTGTTGTACTCAAACCATATAACTGATTATAATATTTTATTGGTAACTGAAAACTTTTGATGATGCAGAATACATGGTTTCCTAGAAAGATTAAATGCCTGAATGCTCAACAACCACCTGATAGAGTGTAAATGAGAGGCCTACTAGTCCTTCACATTTTCTTACCCGTCAAGGGTGTTGGGGTAATCTAGTGGTAAAAGCGTCCACTTGTCACCCTGAAGACCTGGGCCCACTTGCCAAAACAATCGTAAGAAAACAATTCTAGGTTTTGTCTACAATAGCCATTGACTTGCACAAAGCGATTGTAGGCCAAGATGGAAACTTACAATATTGATCCAGACCAATCTTAAATAGCCAAGATTGTCACACAAATAATCTACTTTACATTAAAGGGTTACTTTATTTTGCAAAATCTTTATAGTTGAGTTGAGTTGGATTTTACGTTACATCGGCATTACTCCAGCCATATAGTGACGAGATCAAGTCTGAATTAATACACATTTTAAGTAGAAAGTCCAAATGAGTTTTATTCTACTTTATAATTAACATGGAAATTTCAATAACACAGATTAATGTCAGAAAAATAATTGTTTGCAGTAGTGAACCACATAACTATTGATTGCTAAAAGTACCATTCCCACCCAAGTCCATGTTGAATGAAAGTGTGAAACAACGTTCCTTTTTGATAATCAAGGGAAGGCTGATAACTGGGGTGTGTACAAATGACTAATAATGGCCATGACCTTGTTAATAGTGCAAAGGCAGTTTGCTGATACACGTATATATGGTAATGCCTGTAGAGTCTGCAATGAAATACAAGTTAGCAGGCACAAATATACAAGTATCTTTCTCCTTCTTAAATCTGATTATGAGAGATGAAAGATTAGCATTTTGATTTATGCATTTTAGATAAATGCACTTATTCATCAAACATACACAAACATATGAAATATTTGTAGAATTTTTTAGAAATAGCAAAAGAAGTTCACATTTTGGAAATAATTTTTTCAACATAATAGTGTTATATAATTATTACACAGTAAATATATATAAAACAACTGCTCTTTTGAAATATTATTTCTTATTCTTTTTTCACTGCCATGCATTCTTCACAACGTTCCCATAGCCATAACATTTCATATAGCAATAAAACAAACATGTGGGATATACATATGTTATATTTCACTAAATTTTGCACCTGACTGATGCAAATTATACTGACCCAGATCGTACATCTATGTGCTGTGTCATAACGAAACAATACTATTGTGTATTTTTTATATGAAATTTTGGAAATGATGACTCAGGCACCATTGAGGTTGTAAGAGGCAATCGGATCAGGTAGTCAGGCTTTGTGAATTGATGTGTCATTGTACCCTGACAACCTGGATCCTTGCTCTTCACTTGATTGTCTGGTCCAGTCTGTATCATTTACTGGCCTCTGTCAAGTTAGTTATTGCTGAGTGTGACATTAAACAACAAAGATTTCTGTTTTCTATTCTTTTGCAATACTCAGAGTAAAATTTGTCTTGTTTTGAAAACTTGGTTTGCAATAATATTTACCATATTTACAGAAAGTACACCAGGGGTTCCACGAAACAGGTTGATCTGTGCGCTAAGATGACCATAACTCCAGTACTTCAATGAATACTTACAATTACTTTAGCACTAAGACTGATTTGTGGAATTGGCCCACAGGTTTCCACAGAGGGAACCTATCGCTAAGGTGATCCTAACTCCCATACTTGAACATAGACACAAGGCAGTTATACTATAGCTCTAAAATTACCTTGTGAAATGGGTCCCTGCGGTTCAACAAAGCAGTCATAGCACTAAGATGATCGTGACTCCCATATTCTAAGACTTTGCGCTAAATCACTTTGTAGAACTGTAGAACAGGACCCTAATCAGTAATAATACTTCAGAATGTGTGTTTTACTTTACAGACAACAAATCAGCATGATCTTTGGTCTCTGAAAATCTGTCACGATGATGTTTGAAGCGCGCCTGATTCTCGACTCTACTACGTAGTAGAAGAAAACGACCTGGTGAAACTTCAGGGACTCATTGACGAAGGCAGAAATTTAGATGAGTTTTATTTTGATGATCAAAACATCAGCACAAAGTCACTTCTACACGTAGCCTGCGAAAAGGGAAGATATGATTGTGTGAAACTCTTGATTGACAACAAAGCTTCCCCGTTTGTGCGAGACAAATGGGGACAGTCACCACTTATGTACTCAGTTGCATCCAGACATGCTGATGTAGCAGAACTGTTGTTGCAGAAGAATTGTGACATTATCGATGATTCAGACAGTCATGGGAAGTCAGCCTTGCACTCGGCAGCTGAGATCGGGTATGTTGAAGGCATCAGGGTGTTGCTGAAGTATGGAGCCAATGTTAATCGTCAGATGATGGACGGGGAACACAGCCTTGAGCCGAGCCATCTGTGAGAGAGATTTGGAAAACTGCATAGAAACTGTTCATATGTTGATCGAAGGTGGAGCTGACTTGAACATACGAGACAGGAGATGTAAAAGGACTGCTTTGCAGGTGTGTAAAGTTCTGTTGATGATGGCTGATTGGCTGAATTAATAGTATTTATACACAGCAGGTTTTAGATATAAGAGAAATAAATGAAATTTGAGCAATGAATATTAATCCTTCCTAATTAAGCTAATACATGGTATGGTATGTGGCAGTTTGACTGTGTTTTGTCTGAGAAGGTTTTAATTTTATACCTATGCAAACACTTGCATTTTCTCAAATATTGTCCAAATACTGACTGACTGAGTTTGGTTTTACGCTGCTTTTAGTGGTATTCCAGCAACATCATGGCGGGGGACACCAGAAATGGGCTTACACATTGTACCCATGTGGGGATTTGAACCCGGGTCTTCGTCGTGACGAGCCAATGCTTTAACCACTAGGCTACCCCACTGTCCCATTGTCCAAATAAATGAATTTCCAGATATCCGTGTCAATTTATGGAGGCGCATAAAACAACAACCCACTATTGTGTAATACAGAAGATTATGTGTGCTTTATGCTCTGTCAAAAACTACACAGGATTCATTCAGTGATTTCATATGAAGGAACTTGGTCAATATGAATGTGAAATTTGAGACAAAACTAAGCGTGAAATAGCATCATCTGGACATATTTCCTTCCTATGTACCAGTGAAAGCAACAATAATATAACACAAGGAAGTTTGACACAATGTCCAGAATAAATTGTATCAGAATTTATTATGATATTTCGCTATTTATAACCTGCACCAGTGCATGTTCAAAATATGAATAAAATATAATAGCATCATATGGACATGTTTCCTTCCAATGTACCAGTTAAAACAACAATAATATAACACAAGGAAGTTTGACACAATGTCCAGAATAAATTGTATCAGAATTTATTATGATATTACAGGGTGCAATTTCACTATTTACAACCTGAACCAGTGCATGTTAAAAATGGCTGGTAGGTTGTCTTTAGTAAGAGGTTGCACTCGGTGCAGGTAGGAATAAATCTTCTAACATCTCACAGCTGTCATCATGTGTTTTAATTGTGAAGTAAGGGTCTGGAAGTAAAAAGAGTTGTTACAAGCACAAACATGTGTGTACTCATTAATCAGTTACATAGCAGTAATCATATAATTGAGATTTATAGATAAAGGTAATACAAAATTAAAACAGAATCATTCATCATTATCATCATGGGATCTGGTTCTGTTGAATGTATCTGATACTGAGTACTTGTTATGAAAATTGCTAAACAAGTATTATGTTATATTTTAGAACCAGTGACATTATTTTATGTTGCAACCAAATTTTTTATGGTGAAGCCAGACCTATAAGCCAGGTTGCACTTGGTTCAGGTACTGAAAAACCCCCATGAAGTTGCACCCTGTATTAGAAATAATATAATCCAATACTGTGTTATTTTAGTTGCAATGTTTACTATTTTCATAACTACAAGTGTACCACTTTTGTACAACTGATTACTATTGCCCGATATGTTTTGACATATAACACAGCTTGATCGGTCATCATTGAGATTTCCCTTGGCCCTGGTATTTCATTATATTGATTAGATCTGTATTATAAAAGCATCACATTTATGATATATATTTCCATCTTTAACTAGCATTCATTTCAACATCATCATCCCATACTATATTAATTTCAGATATAATCAGATTTAACATGACATTAAGTCACTCTACTGCCTATTAAGACTTTCTGAGAGTTTTTGTTTCATAGGTAACGTTAATCTTGATATTAAACATGTGGCCCAGTCTTTTGAATGCTGCCATTTGCTGTGCAGATTTACCTCCCTTGAGCATGCTAGAATGGTGCTGGGATCAAATCCCACATTGCCATGATTGTGTTTCTGGTTTGTCAGCACCATCATCATGCTTGTTGGTTTTGATGATAACACAGCTCTCTTGTGTTTTTTAATGACCCTGCCGTCCCTGGAGACTTCTCTCCTCCCTGCTGGGGGTTGCTGTTGTCTTACAAGAAACTCAAATTTAGATTTTGTTTGTTTGTTCTTTGCTCTCTACATTTTAGAAAGAAAATGTAAAAGATATTAGCTTTTGGTAACAATGGGAACTGTCGCTACATGGAGCATCAGGGGAGTCGTTATATCTCCTTCCATCAAAATCACAGGTCCAGTGGTATTTTTAATAGAGGCAAGAATTTAGGGATGTCAAATTTTATATTTTGAGAAACACAACATTTCTGGGTGGATTTTTACTCTTCCATCAGGTGAATATGCAAGTACTTTCATTCACCTGATAAAGAAGTAAGATAATATACCCGTACTCCGAAATATATGTCCTCAAAATAAAGATGCTGAATCCATATATTCTTGCTTTTATGTGTATCACTTCCAATGCCATTCAAAGGTAATGTTTATTTGAACTATACAGGATGTAAATCAGTCCCAGTTTGACATTTTACATATTTTTATTATTATTATGCTGTTACGTCCCTTTGATAGTGAATTTGATTAACACAATATTTTACTGTGAACAAGTGTAGGCAGGCCACATTGGCACAGTCTCCCCTCCCATCATTGTGGTAGACTTTGTAACAGATGTCACACATTACAGGGTATAAAAAGAACTAAATTGGAACGACTAACAAATTAATCATTTTGGTATGAATTATGCCATAGACAATTGTGTAAACAAATAGACATGCATCTACTTCCTATTCAGTTACCTAAACATAAAAAAAACATATATTGAGAAAACTATTACACATAGACCACGGCAGCATGTCTGCATATAAAAAAATGACAAGAATTAATTTGAGCATGTTTGATAACTTGTTGCATGTTTTGTTTTTCAGATATCTAAAACTCCATTGCCATACGTACTGTCAGTCATCTTCATCATCACCCAGCTAGTAGCCTGTATGTAGTCATGGTAACATACACAGCATTGCTTTCAACTGCAGTGGTGCATGCTTGATGCATGGTTGAACTCCAGGGAGGTGTCACAAGAGTGTAACATAACACGATTTTCTTGAGGTTTGTAAACGTTCATCATGTTTATTACATGTTTCTCTGCTGATTTTATATAAGTTTATGAGAGATTATAAGTAAAGTATCTTGCGATTAAATCTATGAATGTCCCCGAAACCTTAACCCTGTTTTGAAAACGTTTCATGCACACATGCAAGAATAAGTCGGTGCATGAACCCTCCTGTCTCAGCCCCTTTTGAAGACATCTCGTGCATGCATGCAACCATGATCGATCCCGTCAGTTCCAACCCTGATGTTTTATTCCTGCATCAATCTTTGATATAGAACAGTAGACAATTTTGCTCTATAGTACATTAACCTATGCAGCCTGTCATGGAAAATACTATGTAATCTTTATGTCTATGTGTACTTAGTGCATTTAAAATAGGGATCCACAAAACAATTGATGTTTGAACACAATGAGTACCACTAACATCTATTTACCATTCTATACTACTAATCCATGTGTTTTCAGGGGTGGAAATAACCCATTGCCCGACGTCTGAGTCCAGTGTTTTTTTCTGTAGGGCAAGCAGATTTGTATATCACACTGTACCGGTGTCCAGTTGACTTTCCATTGTTATTTATGTTGTTTATTTTTAAAAATCAACAAGAAAACGGCCGGTATAGTGGAAAAATTATCAGGGCAAGTGATTTTACATGTGCCACTGTTCCGGAGTACACTAGCAATTTTAAAGTTATTTCCACCCCTGTATTTTGTGTAATATGCTGTGTTCTTGGGCTTGATGTCATCATACTGTTTACTCTGGAATTGTTTCATGTTTCTGTTTTGTTTTAGATCAGTATGTCACATTATAACACAGTGAATATGATATGTATCACAGACACTGGGCAATGAATATGAATGTTGGTTAATAAATACAATAACAAGTCAGCAGCAGCTGTATAATATTTATTATATCCATTAAAACAAAAGCAAAATATATTTTTGGGCAATGTTTTGACCATGTTGACAGTGTTAATTTATCACAACAACTACCAGTAATCACATTACTGTCAGTTTAAAAATACCTTCATAAGAGTGTTGTCAAGAGATACAGTTTGATTCACCTAGGAGTCCACAGCATTACTGGTACACCGCAATACATTTTCCAAGTAATATATATTTTTTCTGTGTACCGGAATGTTGGGTAAAAACATGTGACAAGTTTACTTATCATGTCTATGGTTTAATTCTGGGACAATGGACACAAATGAATACTGAGAGAAACGGTTCACACTGGGGATAGTCAAAAGTGAACTAAAAATCAAAGATTTTATAAATATAATAAACGTCTTTATATTTTGAAATCTGGTAAATATTGTGACCAAGTGGAGAGGCTCTAACAACATAACACACAAGAGTGTATCCAGTTCATTCTGTATTCAGAAACCTTCTGTGTGATGAAGCACATGGAGAAGCCTCCCAGTTTAGCTCCTCTCTCTCTTGTCTTACACTCTGACACTGGCTCCCTCTCTCTTATCAGTAGGTCTTTAACTCTGGACCAATGCTGGGTCAGTCCTAGTCTGTCGTACAGACACTGAAGCAAATATATCCAAGAAAGTCCACGCAAGTCTAGAAAATGTGGCAAGTCTAGATTTCCTCAGCTTCATGAAGAAAGTCTCAGGGCTCCTTTTCATTATATTATATTTTTTTTACTATGAACTTTTTTCAGTAAAATATGTTCATTTCAGAGACTAGTTGTTAGTCTAGGTCAGTCCTTGTCCTGAGAGCCTTATGCTAATCCCAGATGACAAGTATTTATAGCTTTAACCCCTAACATGTGTCTTTAAGGAATCTCCCCATCACCTTAAGTACTTAGGGAAAGATAAACCTTAAACACCCTGTCACAATAATGAAGAATATATAAATATAAGAAACATCATTGATATTTTGTGTCACCTGTTCTGTTCCCAGAATGCTGCAATAAGGCGGAACATCAAGGTGGTGGAGATGTTGCTTGAGGGGGAAACATCATTGATATTTTGTGTCACCTGCTGACTTGAATGCTGCAATCTTGGTGGTGGAGATGTTGCTTGAGGGAGCGACATGCGGTCGCACAGCTCTCACCAACATGATGACCGAGTGGGTTAAAAACGTGCAGGGAGTGCCCTTCATTCCGGATGACGTCATGACGATCATTGTAATGATGGTACAAGCTGGAGTCGACCTGAACCTCAACATATGCGAGTACTGCAATCCCATGTTGACTGCTGCAAATCTGAAAGCCGAGCCACTGCTCAGACTGTTCCAAGCCAATGGTGCTGATGCCAATCTTACATGTGAGTTGCTCCTGTTAATTAAGAAATACAGGTCTCTCTACTCCCATGTATAGTGTAATAAAGTACAGTTTTGCCCTGAACTGTTACAGTTAAAGCATCCTCATGCTTTGGATTGTACACTGATCCATTGACTGGTAAATAACATCGCACCTTGAGCATACTAAAGGATGTGGATATGACTTTATGTCAGTGAAATATTTAGTGAAATATTTGTGTGTGACCTGTATTTCTGACTTAAATTGTGGCAGCCTAAAGTAAAACCAGACAAGTAAGTGACAATACATCAAGCATCAGAGGTACAGATAAGCTGCGTAAATTATGCAAATGTTTATGTGAAAACTCAATTCCTTTTAGTCTATTGCGTACAAGTACCCTTGAATTTTTGTAAATACCCAATAAATGTGTTCTTACATGCGTACACACGAAAATGTCAAATCTTAGCTTGCGTACATGTGGATAGATAAATAACTTAGGAATATTGAGAGGTTCTATTTCAGGATATGAACTTTGCAACTTGCAGTTTTTCTGATTGTTTCTCATGTTACAGATCAAATATAAATAACAAACACTAACATTTAAACTTTATTATATTTTTACAATTAATGGAAAATGGCAAAATACCCAATTGAGTTTGAGTGAGGTGAGTACAATGTTATTGGTTACTCAAAGGAAAATTAGGATACCCAATTGAGATGAACACAAGAGAGTACATAACTCAGTTACCCAAAACGTTATCTGTAGCTCAGAAGCATGATCACATCACGGCTGTACAGTTTACCTGTATGGGGATTTACAAATATCAGGTTGTGTTCTCGAACAGGAGACCCGTGAAGATCCGGGTTAGAATTGATATTCAGTGACCCATGTTTGTTGTAAGAGGCTACTAACGGGATCAGGTGGTCAGACTCGCTGGTTGACACATATCATCGTATCCCAATTGCGCAGATTGATGTTCATGCTGTTGATCACTGGATTGTCTGGTCTAGATTCGATTATTAACAGACTGCCACAATATCGCTGGAATATTGCAGAGTGCGGCATAAGACTAAACTCCCTCTCTCACTCCCTTTCTCACTCTAACAGGACTGTAACAAGACTGTGAGTGACACACATTGGCAATACTTTCAAGACGTACCTATGTCAGCTGCAACAACACATGCATCTATAGTTAGAAAACACTGACTGACACTGGATTTACTGTTCATCTTGCCAACACCCAATATAGCATGCACGTTTCTGATGCAGCAAAGGTTGATGTTATCCACTTGCAATAACTTCATGGCACAAAACGCTCCAGACTTACTGTAGTAATATTCACACAGATAGTTTGCAATGTGCTGGTTTTTAGTGGAAGGGTAAGGTGAAGTTGGTGTCTGTTTTTCAGCTGTGATGGGAGTATCCAGCCTACTGATATCCACCAGCAAGAACGACATCCTGTCTTTGAAGACACTACTGGAGTGGAATGTCCACACAGATATCCCCGGTCTGATCTACAAGCGGCGTGAGGATAAGGAGTACACAGTCGATCCATTTGAGCTGGCAATAATGGAAGGACATTTTGATATTGCCAAGATTCTTATTTCTGCTGGATACAAGAAATACCACAAACCATATCTGTTTGAGCAGGCTCGACTGCCGAAGATGCTTCAGCAGAATCCAGAAATGTTTCACTGGCTTCTATCAAAGGCTTCTTGTCCAGATACACTATTTAATTTGGTGATATTTTCTTGTCGGACGTTGTTGGGTAGAAATGTTAAATCAGCTGTGAAGAAACTGCCCATCCCTGCCAGAATTAGAGGAAGCATCCCTGCCAGAACTGTTGGATATTAGGAAGGATTGCCCTGGCAGAACTGTTGGATATTAACGACGCCTAATGGTTAAAGCTCTTCATAGATCACAACTGACTGAGGTGGATTTAAATTTATTTATCGGTAGAGATGCAGTAACAAAGGTCATATACTAAACCAAGTATCTTGACCACATATCTTCTGTTGTTGTATTTTGTGTTGTTCAGAAATATTCTAGCTAGTCCATTTGGTAAAATCCCCAAAGGCACTAACTGGTACCTTCTGAGGAGACAAAGGTTGGTTGTGTTTTTTATGATGGAACATCCAGTCTGTGTTTTACTTTATGAATGACAGCCAGCCAATGCAGTTAGAATGGGTAAATGGAGATGGGTATCCCCAGACTGCTTTCCCAAAAAATGTTCTCAATCAAAAGTGTTGTGGCTGTTTATAATATTGTCTTTTAAAGCTCAGTAAAGTTGACATGGTGGTATTTTTACGAAAGATCCTTAAATGGAAAGCTGTCTTTATGTCCAAAAAAGCAATGAAACAGAGGATGTGTTATGCATTGGAGGATAATGTCTGTTTTTGCCTGATGACATGTTGCAAATAAAGACAATGAAGACATGGCGCTATATTTACAATATCTGAACTGGTTTGACATTAAGGAGAAAATTGTCTTTTTTAATTGTCTTGAGATTGATTGTCCAGATATCGCTGTCTGTCAGAATTGGATGTCTGTTCATTGACTTAGATTATCATACACTTCAGAAAGCAGACTTGTTATTGCTTACAGTATTCTTTTCATCTTAAGGTGAGTGAGTGAGTTTAGTTTTACGCCACACTCAGCAATATTCCAGCTATATGGCGGCAGTCTGTAAATAATCGAGTCTGGACCAGACAATCCAGTGATCAACAACATGAGCATCGATCTGTGCAATTTGGAACCGATGATGTGTCAACCAAGTCAAGCGAGGCTGACCACCCGATCCCGTTAGTCGCCTCTTACAACAAGCATGGGTTACTAAAGGCCAATATTCTAACCCGGACCTTCACAGGTTTTCATCTTAAGGATACTTTATATTTTCTGAAATCTTCTGACCCTCTGTCGAGTGGGTTGGCACACTTTGTCAATTTGCATAGATCTGAACATTTGAGTTTGTTGACAAGACAAATACTCTCTAGAAAAGTCATCCCACAGATGACATCCTTGCCTTGTCAACTTTCTGACGAGGTTGACCTATTTGGTCATGTGGACAAGGTCGCTTAGATCAGAAAGTCTGTGGTTTGAAACTCATCATGGCTTGAACGTATATAAAAATATAAAACAAATTAAGCACACTTGATGTAAATGGTCCTAGATGATGTTTTGTACTCCAAAAAGCGGGGACAGTCACCCATGCATCAGTGGGTCTTGTACTTCCCTGTACAAGAATCGATCACTGTCACACACTAAATTCAAAATATACCTCCCTTCGTAATTGTTCATGATACTAACTTTTACACCAAACTGAAATGAAACCAAAATATTTTTACACTACTGAATATTGAAAAATTTCAAAACGGTTGGTGTAGGGTTCTCTCCCTTCCAATGCTCCCGCTGAGTCAAACAATGAGCTCAGCTTTGCTGTGTGCTAAAACTGTAGGTACCTATTTACCTAAGTAAATTTTCAGATTCTTCTATCAATGGCAAAGTAGGGTTGTGTTCAATCATGACGTGATTTGATTTGTCCGCTTGCAGAAGGGAAGATAATGGCAAAATGGTCAGTCTGATGATCCCTGCCAACTGAAAATCTTCACTGAAGGAGGTATTTGGACATCACCTTTGGAGAATGCGCCACAAAAAAAAAGACTGCATGCAAGTATCGAAAAATGTTTCATATTGTGGGTGCATCTTGATATTTATCAGGATGTTACGGTTGGTGTATTGACCAAGCCCGAAATTAGTTTCCCTGGTCTACAAGAGCACTTCCCTTCAGTACTTGATGAAACTGATGTATAGCTTTGAGCCAATATTCTGTCTTGCATGGGGGCAGTGGGGTAGCCTGGTGGTAACGGCATGGCTTGTCACGCCGACAACCCGGGTTCGATTCCCTACATGGGTACAATGGGTGAAGCTTATTTCTGGCTGTCTGTCTGTGGCTGTGGCAATGATTTTTGGCAGGTTGACGCATAGTCTTGCACAAGGAAACGGTAACTTCGTTTTGTGATGCTGGAGCCTGTCCACTCATCTGATTTGTTGGACCTTGTCGGTTTCCTGTCGATGGCGTCTTCTCTGTGATATCAGCACGTTGCAATACGTTTTCCTGTTTTATGGAAACCAAACTTTGAATGCATCCAACTGAATGCAAAATAACGCATCATGCCGGAAAGCGCACGTAAAATCTCACAATCATCCCCATCACAAGACCGATATTACACTGAATGTGTGGGGAATGAAGGGAGGAGTTTATTATAGTCCGTTTGACTTCATTTTAGACCGATGAATTGCTCACTAACACAAAATCTAATAAATGCAACGAAATCAAACTTTGCACAGGTACATGAAATCGACAGACCAACTCTGATGATTTGTCTCATAATTTTGGACACCCGAATAAACACGTTATTTAACAAACGATCATTATTGTGTTGTCAGGTTTCGCTATGTCTTACGAGGAAGGACCACTTGGTGGTAGAACAGCCATGTGTGCGAGTTGTACGTGTGAAATTGAAATTTCACTGCACACGCTTGTTGATTACCTGGCTCTTCTACCAGCAAGTGGTCCTCCCTCGTAAGACTAAAATGAAGTCAAACGAACTATAAAATAGCTCACAAAAATCACAAACTGCAGAATGACTTTATTGAAGGCCTGAGGCTGCCGACGTCCGAGTAATGCTCAAACAATGACGTCGATAGTTTGTCTTTGGTTTATATTGGCTGTGATTCGGCTAACATTAACATGAAAACCAGTAAACATAAGAAATGCATTCAATCAAAAGTCGCTTTTTCACTGACTGTCTCAGGTTTTGTATTTACACCAAAATTTCCTTTTGTGTGGAGCTTTAATTTAGGTTCCCACAAAGTATACTTGTAAAATTTCTGATGGAGACGGGTTCTGCATTATGTAGAGAAATGATCTTTTATGATCCGACTTGTGATGGCTGGAACAGGCCGATAATGTCCACGTGAACGTTCTATTATTGGTGTTGTACAGAACATTATTGTTCACATTATCATAGAATATACATGTGGACGTTGAATGTAGATCAGTACATCCATACCCCAACATATAGTTTCTTTCTTTTTAATAAACTAGGTCTATCGACACACACAGTTTTCTGTTTTCATTAACTATATGGCTGAAATATTGCTGTTGTGAATTTCTTCTCACTCACTTCCCTGTTACGACCAGTATGTTGTGAGGATAAGCCATATTAGATACCAAATGTGCATACCTCTGAAAAAAAAATGATGTATATAATGTAAAAACTGTCTCTCTCATTTACACTTAGACTGACTTGATATTTGTAAAACTAACTCCCGCCAAATAGTATGTGCATTGTAACAAAAAGTAATTCTTGGTTGGCCATTGCGAAAAAACATTCACTCGATTTGTGTAAATATTATCTTAAGAGAAAAAAAGAAAGTGAGCAGACACAGATTTTGTATTATGAATATGTTTACTGATAAACACGTTGGTATTTTTTGCTTGGTAAGAATCAGAACAGAAGAGATTTAAATGACATGGAAACGTAACGACGATTTACATTTATTAATTAATAGTCGCTTTACACAGGGAACACATTGGAACACGTAAGTGGTCATCTGTTGGAACCTCATCGAGAGGGGGACGAGTCTTCTTGGAGGTTACGGGAAAGGTCGAGTGGTGACGAATGGAGTTGGGCACCTGATGACCCTTCGGGACCTCATACCAAGAGCCTTCAGACGGTTACGCACGGTCTTGGTTAACAAACGCCTATTGGAAACCCAAAGTTGCTTCAACCAGAGACCATCTATTATATGGTCTCTGCTTCAACCGACAGCTCGAGGCCAAGAGTTAACGCGATCTTCTGCTGGAGTGGTCTTCCTGCGCTGCCCTGACCTCGGTCGATCCTTGACAGGGCTCAGATGATGGAGTGAAAGTAGCAAAGCTGACGCCGGATGAATTGAATGACATGCCGGTTGCATGCATAGTATTGCATACCCACTTTCTGCCATCGCAGTCCCAGTGAAGGTCTCGCCATGTTTACATGGATGAATGCAACAGATGGAATATTCACAAGTTTAATACCCTGAACGGTCAGAGATACTGCTTGTAAATAGTGTATTGTATGCTTCACATGTTGGCTGCGTTTTGGCAAAACCTTTTCAAACTGAAACATGGTGTTTCATTACGTCAAAGGTGCAAATACTTTGAGATGTAGAAAGCATGCTTTGTAAATGGGCGGTGATTACCTATGTAATGTTTTAGCGGGTCAAGCAATATCAAACAATAAGATTGTTAAAACCCAATTCCTTGAATTATAGTTCATATGCAACATACACGAAATATATTAAATCTGTGGCAGCCACGACGTAATTATCAACTCTTTTGGTAGCTAAATGGAAGGGACAAAACCCTCTCCAAATCTATGAGACATCTCTGATAAAAGCAAAGTCGATTGTACAATTGTGACTGTATTATGACTATATATTAGTATATATCAAGTCTGAACGAGACAATCCAGTGATTGTCACCATGCAATACAATGACAGCAGTGTTTATTAATCATTATGAAATAGTGATGATACCAGGTTTTAGCAAAATGTGAAAAGCAAACATTTGCACAATACTAGTTTTTCAGTTCTCGCTGATAATAGCCATTAATATTCCGTCATAAAACAAGGTCATCTTCTTCATACAAATGTACAATCTTTAACCAAATTGAGACAGAAAGCATGTTCTCATTTACAACTGTCCCGTTTCGGTTAACGGGCCAAAACATTCCGTTTGGGGCAACATCCATCACCATACAACCCTCTGGATTGTACCACCACCCAATGTTCTTCAGTCGGGCACATCCATTTATGTCGTTGTCATATGTTCCAAACCGAGCTCCGTTCAAGTTCTTGGTTGTGTCACCGGCTCCTCCTAAACCATCCAGAAATATAGTGTTGTTGTAATACACGTCCCTTTCAAGGTAATCCCAGTGCAATGCATATCCCTCTGCTTCTGTGTCAATGCGGACGTTTCTGTACCATAGCATACCGACTTCTACTAAATTCCACATTTTCACATACATATCGTACCTGCCCTGTTTTGTGAACAGATGCAACCTTTCCAGGCCGATAAAGTAGAAAGTTCTATCATCTATCAACACACCTTGTTTTAGTGCCTGCCATGTACGAGTATAGTTATAGGAAGCTTCAAATCCTGTCACGGGAAAGGTGTCCTTTTTACAATACCATTCAAATATATTGTCCGACCCAAGAGGTTGAATGATCTGAAAGCTGAAAGCTCTTGGTGCCTCCACGCAATCTGGAATGTGACGACATAGTTATCATTGACTCAAGAAACAAAAACCGCTTCAAATCACTATAGTTACTTATCACGCAGATGCTTTGAGACCTGAATATTATATTTTGAGAAGTTAGAAGCCATATTTTAT